AAAATTATTTCGTTCTGGTGCTTTAATAAAAAAGAAATCGATTTGCAATTTATGCAGAGTTACGAAATGCATTCGTATGTCCGTGATAATGCCTGGCATTACACATGATCAATTTTATAAGGCGTACCGTATCGGATACGTGCGCCTGTCGAATGCAGCTACGTACACAAATGAGAAGCTGGTTCACACCATGCGCTTTCTATGTGCATGCATTCGCGCACCTGTCATCAATTTACGAATTCGCATCGCGTACATTATCTTTAAAAAGAATTCTAACATAGTCATAATTAATTAATTAAATGATCCAAAAATATTATATATTAAATGAGATAAATTTATAACTAAAAAAACGTGTAACACATTTGACACTAAGTCGATACAAATATTAATATTTAGCAGAGACAGTTATACAACTGTTGTGATAATTGAACTCTCCAAATAAGAACAACTAACTACGTTTTTTTCTGTTGCATGCAACAGAGGATTCATATGATATTCATGTAGATTTTTTTTATATTTAAAAACTTTTAATTAAAAAAGTTTTCATCATATAAATGTGTTATAGGTTTTGAAGATAACAGTTAGTATGGTACAATGAAGAAGATATATCGTAATAATATTAGCAATAGCTAATTTTTTTTAGGTTTTATTGTTTATTTTATTTATTTAATAAAAAGCACAGGATTACTTCTCTGCTTTCTTCGTTTTTGCTGAAGCCTGTTGTGCTTTCATAACTTTATACACAATCTTCTGTTCTTCAATCAAGAATGCACGAACAATCCTAAAAATTATATATAGATCAATATAAGTATTGCATAAAATTTGATATGAAACTTAATACATATTTATTTATATGATGCTATGGGGCTACCGGTAATGACATTGTTAATCACAATTAATATTTACAATTATTTGCACACTTGTAAGATTGACTTTGTTAAGTAATAGAAAAATATAATAAAGTGCGCTGGTAAATGAATCAATATTTTTATTTATAATATATTTTAATTTTTCTTATTCTTTGTATGAAATAAATGAGACACTTGGCATGAGTGAAAAAACAACTGAATATGCTTGGCGATAAATACATTGAAACATAATGATTAATTCTATTTTAAGAATAATATATATTTAATGAAAAAACATTTAAAATTTAAATTTTTAAGTTTTCATCGAATACATACCTTTCTTTAACACATTTGTGACAAAGAACTCCACCGTACACACGTTTGACAGTTTTCTTACGTCTGCACATTCGTGAACGTTCCATTGGTCTTGCAGGTTGAATACCTCTAAGCTTGTCCTTACATTGTCCACATCTTGGAATCTTTTTTGGTTTTTTCAAGTATTGGTACACTAATTTGCCACCTGGCGTACGTACACTGTAAACAGGAAATCATTGCAAAAATGTTAAGGATAATATAGAATAAAGTTCGAAGAGAAATATCTCATTCTATGTGATATATAAAGTTCACTTTTTATCGTTGCACTAAACTGCATTAAAATTTTCTCATTTTCCGATCAAGCTTTCTCATTTTTGCTAAAATTCAAATCAATTTTAAGTATTATAAATATTTATGTATAGTAAGTTTAACTATAAAAGACAAATTTGTAAAAGTATTTTGAAAAATGTAGACTATTCGCAATGATGATAAATAACTGTTGATGAATGCAATAATTTAAATTTAATGATTTTTATTCCACGCACGTGAGTTTTACACGACGCTAGGAGCAATCGACCAAAACATAACCTCAAACTCTCAGGAGTCTCTCGTGACTAATATCGCGACTTGTAAAAGTCATAGTTCATTGTAGATGAAAATTAACGTAATCTCTTTTGATGTTAGCGTTTATTATTACACAAATACTTACACACGTCTTCTGTTGCTTTTTGTGTTATACGACAGACGTCGTCGATAGGTTAATCGTTGCACCATTTTGGTTCTGCAACACAAAATAACCTCGTTAATAAAACATATCGGTCCATATAAAATCGGGACGAACAACCGAATTTCTCAGATTTATGTGGAAGTGGAATAATGTTAATATATCTTACGATTGACACGTGTAATACAGATTTTAAAAAATCATACAGAAATGCTACGAACCTTTTACAGATCCAAACGGAAAGGGAAACGGTTCGACACCGAAAGGAGACGCTTTCACGCACGCGCAACGGAATATTGTCGCCATCTATCCACAAACACGTCAAATTTAATTTTAAACGTAAATATTCTAATATTTATAATCGATCGGTTATTGTCATGTGTCTAAAAGTCATGTGTCTAAAAGAGATACGTTGCGTTTGTACTTTATATTACTTATTATTATATCTTTAATCATGAATGTTTGTTGTTGTTATAACTGATATTTTATAGCGAACTATCGAAGGAGAAAGATCGTGAATCTAAGAATACAAATCAGTGATTTATAACGGTAAGTACAATTTGTAAGTCTATAACTGTTAATTTGTAATTATAAAATATCTTAAATGTATACGAGAATACACAATTTCAATGCATCGATTTAAGCATTAATAATGGAATCTTATATATATTTTATACTACAATATATAAATATATTTCTTTGAATAAGCAGACAAACACGTAAAACATAAGAATAATTTAGTGCCTATTTTTAAATTATTATTAACATAAAAATAATTTTCAAGATAACAAATGTTAATAAATACTAAATTTACATTTTAACAATTCCATCAATGCAATGAAAACCTTTCGATGCAACGGTTTTATCCAACTGTTAAAAAGAATTTTCTTAATTCAATTCGATTTGAGATGAAGTATTGTGACTCCCTTCTCATCTATGAATTTTACAACCTTATAAGACGAACTTTATTGAATTTTTAATAAACGTGAATTTTTGTTTAACAAATTTAACATATATTAAGAATAATTTTATTTAATTTGTTTTTATTATTTATTTTCGCACTAAAGGCGATATTAAAGGTTACCGTTGGTGGTTTGCATTGATAGAATTTTTGTAAACATTAATATTTATTAAAATATATTTAGCATTGTCATCTAGCTTTGACTCAAATAATCCATTGTTTATATTTTTGTTTTATTTTTTTATAACCTTTTGCTCTTATTATAAATTTTTTAAAAAATTTAATTTTTATTTTAATCCAATTAAATGTTGCAATATTAGAAATGTTTCAAACTTCCTAGAAAATAACAATAAAATATTACGTTAGTAGTATTAGTGAAACATTCTATTTTGTTGTTATGATTATAAATTATTTAATAAAAGAGATACATAATTGTTATCTTCTATATTTTTAACAAATTAAATTTTTATGACAAATTCGTACCTCAGTTTCCTATTACAGTATATTTTTATAAATGTTAATAATTTGTTTAGATGAATGATATGGGATTAATAAAATTATTATTATATGGAAGTCTGATACTTAACTATGTCAGGGCCATTGTTGATTCAAAAGGAACTGAATCTACATCAATAAATCCAATGGATACAAATGACACAATAAATACTGAAACTGCAGTTAATTTTCGTTTGCCTCATTATATAGTACCAAAACAGTATGATGTTGAATTAGCATTAGACACAGAAAAAGATATTATTTATGGAATATGTAATATCAGTATTGCTATTTATAAGGTCACATCAAACATAAGTTTTCACTCAATGAATTTGAATATAATTGAATGTACGTTGTCTCAACGTGATAATATAAATAAAAAAACCTATAGATCGCATCATATTTCGCATATTCATGACCTGCAAATTATCATCTTGAATTTTCCTTATTTGATATTTCCTGGTAATTATATTTTAAACATAACGTTTACGAGTGTTATCTCTAATGATGTCGGAGGTTTCGTTAAAATCCCATACATAAATACGAATAAAAATAAAAAGTAGGTATAAACATATTTATTACATTATAAATATCATATAAATATAATTAAAAAATATTAACTACATTCGTTAGCGACACAAAATTTAATCAAAGTTTGACACTCTTCATAATATGTAACAAAAGTTCATCAAATATATGAAAAGCATAAAAGTAGTATTAATGATATTATATTTTTGAACAAATCTTAATAGTTTTCTCTTGTGTTACACAATAGTTTATGAATAAAAATATATTCTCCTACCAATATTTATATTAATTTTCAATGCTATTAAAATTTGTTGTTACATAGCATATTAATGAGATTAATTAAATATGTTAGATGGCTTATAGCAACAGACAACTCGGCGACAGGAATGCGACATCTATTTCCATGTTGGGATGAGCCAAGGATAAAAGCTAAATTTAACATTTCTATAAAACATTTTAAACATTATGAAGCTTTTTCAAATACGGCTCCTATATATAAGTCACATAAAAATTTAAAATATAAATATAACGGTATATATTCAAATATAACGGTGACACATTTTGGCATAACACCTGAAATACCCACTTATCGTATAGCCATTGTGCTATTTGATACTATTGATTATTTTAAGATTTCTTCCAAAAAAATCGCAAATAAGAAACTTTGGGGCAGAAAACTGTTAAAAAAATATCATATGTTTGCATTTAAATTAATTAATAATGTCACACATATCGTTAAGCAACAATGGCAATTACAAAAAGAATCTTTATTGGGTGATCACTATGTGATTGCAGGTTTGCAAAATGATGACATGGATAAATTGAACTTCATATTTCACAGGTAAAATGCACTTAAAGAAATAAATTCCGATCCTTTAAAAATAGTTATAAAAAAACCTAATAAATTATATGCAGTATATGCAAGTATACAGTATATGCAATATATGCAGTATATAGTAGTGCTATTAGTAATAGAAGATGAAAGACTGTGCACACTTGTGACATAAATTAAACATATAACAAAACAAAACATATAATAAAATTGTTAATAAACATTTTTAGAGAAAAAGATATTATTTATAATAATAAAATACACTCCATTGCGCATAAAATAGAGTTATCACGTTTAATTGGACGTAAAGTGGTCGGTCAATTGTTTGATGGTTGTCCATTATGGTGGTCCTATATGTGGTTGAACGAAGGTATTGCTACATTGTTCGGCCTGTATACAATCAATCAGGTAATTTCTCATGTCTACGGTAATACTTCGACAGAAAGGAGAATATACATTCAAACTAAATACAAATAAGTCAGTAACATTCTTCGAATGTTTTTGATTATTCAGATTAAATATTTAGTTTAACAATAAATTTCAATATATTTATAGGATGTTAGAAAATGTTTTTAAAATTTCTAATGATTTTAATTGATATATTGTTTGTTGATTCAAAAAAATTCTAAGTTAAATAATTAACAATTACATAACTACATCTTTAACATTTAACATTTAGATTCTGCCAGATTTTCAAATGTTGGAATTGTTTGTGGTCCAGACTCAATTTGAGTCTTTCCATCTAGATGATTCACAAGTGATGAATTCTCTTGAATCAGAAATAAACAATATCTCTGAAATTAATTCTCTTTTTTCTTTTGCCTATTACATAAAAGGTACGTAGCATTAAGTGAACAACATATTATTATATTATTAAACAACATATTATTTATGAGCTGTTTTAAAAGAAAACAAGTTTTGTTCAATGTATTTATATTTTAATAAAAAAAAGGTGTGTATGTGTGTGTGTGTGTGTGTGTGTGTGTGTGTGTGTGTGTGTGTGTGTGTGTGTGTGTGCGTGCGCGCGCGCGCGCGCGCGCGCGTCGTGTTGTATGTGTGTGTGTG